GAATTGGCTATAGAAATATTCTAATGTATAACATTTACCTTCAGCTTTCAAGGTTGAAGGAGTTTGAGTAATTCAGAATGTATACATAAATCTTCATATCCATTTTTAAATAACAGATGTCAAAATATCATATTTTTAAACAAGCTACTGCATTGGCTCACAAACAAAAGGATATCTTTTAAAAAATATTTTATTTTTTTTATTTTATGTGTATGCATGTATCGCCTGCATGTAGGTAAGTGTACCTGTGTTGTACAATGCCCACAGGGGACAGAAGAGGCTGTCAGATCCCCTGGAACTGGAGTTATGGACAGTTGTTAGCTGCCATGTGGGTGCTGGGATTCGAACCCGGGTCTTCTGCAAGAACAGTCAGTGTTCTTAATCGCTGAACCATCCCTCTAGCCCCACAAAAGGATATCTTCAAAATAACTTTCTGAGGGTTGGTGAAGTAGCTCAGTTGGTAGAGTGTTTACCTAGCATGTCAGCAGCCCTCAGCTCCATCCCTAGCACAGTATGAACCAGGTATGGTGGTCCACACCTGTAACCTCAGCATTCAGGAGATGGACATATAGTGCCGAGTCTGTCATAGGGTTGCCTGCAGGATGCACAGTGGAGTAAGGCTGTTGATGACAATTCTCTCACAGCAGTTTGTATAGCACTGTGAGGGACAGCCAGCAGAGAGAGATTTCCAGACTAGTTCCAACTTAAACTCTCTATGTTCTATCACCAGATCATGTGATGGTTTCAGCAACAGGGTCTTACCACATAATTCTGGTGGATGTGCAATACCAATGGCAAATACCTATATTGTGTTGGGAGACGCAGGGCCCTCCCTGACCAACAACTCATGGGGAAGCAACCCACCATCAGGACTGCTGATTAATTTTCATTTAAGATCCTGTGGTTTCTGTGAGAAGCTTTCACCATCGAGGGAGGGCAGCTCTGCTCAAATTCTTCATTGTTTTACTTTTAATTAGCATCCCAAATACCAGATTTCTTTATGACATTTTCACAAATTGGTAGTTTTGCTTGACCCTCCCTCCTCTTTTCCTCTTCCCTTCCCACCCCTTAAGTATTTCCACTCCCAGAATTCTGATTTCACTTTTATGTCCCTGTGTTCTGCTACCCCCTACCCCTTCAAACCTTTCTTTTCCCTGTCACGGCTTCTTTCTAGTCTCTTGGGCTCTCACATACTCACTCTTATGTAAATCCACATAGATAAAAATTAGAAGCTAGGAACATGCAGAATTTGTCTTTTTGAATCTTAGTTACCACACTTGATATAATACTTTCCAGTTTCACCCATTTTCCTGTAAATATGACACATTTTCATTATCTATGCATCCATTGTGGGATATTATATCAGTTACTTTTATGTCATAAATACCACATAAAAGGCAACTAATAGAAGAAAAAGTTTGAGTTATTGTTCCAGAGGGAGAGTCTATAGTGGCAGGGAGACACAGCAGCAGTCGGCAGGCATTGCAGCTGGAGCAGGAAGTGGAGAGCTCACATATTCAACAGCAAACAGAAAGCAGAGAGAGTGAACTGGAAGTAGACAAGGCTGTGAATGCTTAAAGCCCGCCGCCATGATGTGCTTCCTCCTGCAAACCCACACTTCCTAAAGGCTCCTGACTTTCCAAACAGTGTCACCAACAATGGTCTTACCATCAAATTACCATCAAAGCAACCAAAGGCAATAGCGATAGCCTGTATTATTTTTTTGGGGGGGGGTCCTCTGTGATACCCCTGACCAACAACTCAAGGGGAGGTACCTCACATCTGGCACTGGGCTTTTTGTTTGGCAACTAATAGCTTCTGAGAAGAGCACTGTTTCCTGTGCCTGATAACACTTATTACACTTTCTATATGAAACATGAAATATCAGGTTTCCACACAGTTTTCCCAAACATCCTTACTGCTCTTTAACCCTCCACCCACCCCCTCCTTCAATGCTCCTTCCCTGACCTTCTTCACACCTAAGCCTCTTTCCCCCTTTTTATCCCTTTCCTCTTCATAGCACCTGCGTTCTATTATTCACTCTCCTTTAAGACCTCTCTTCCCTCTTCACACCAATGGTCCCTTTCTAGTTCCCTGGATTCTAAAGGTACTCAAAGTTAGACACACAAATCTTAAGATTTGATACTAAGATCCACATAGCAGTGAGAACATGTGGCCTTACTAGATGTGTTACCTCACTCAGTATAATATTTTCTATTTCCATTCATTTACCTGCAAATTCCATCATTTGCTGTTGAATACTACCACCTCCAATCTCAGGTTGTTTGCATATATTGCTTTTCTCAATCAAGAATGCACCCCTCTATGGGTTAGGGATGTAGCTCAGTTGATAGAATGCTTGCCTAGAATGAGGCCCTAGATCGGATCTCCAGCACCGTATAAGCTGGGTGTGGTGGTACATGCCTCTAAACTCAACACCTGAGAGATGAACACATGATGATCAGAAGTTCAAAGTCAGCCTCGGTTTCACAATGAGTTTAAAGTCAGCCTAGGCCTCATGAGACCCTGTCTCAAAAACAATGTACTCTACCCCACCCCCATTGTTTAAATGTCTTCTAGAATTAACTTTCTCCTTATGGTCTGTGAAGCTTTTCATGACAGACTCCAACAGACTAAGCTGCCAGCCCTTTCTTTAATCCACAAAATTCCAGGCCTCTCCCATAGCATACATACATCACCAGACTGTCATTGTTGTTCATGTCTCTCTTCCCCAAGGCCCATGATTTGTTTCAGAACAGAATGTGTGCCCCACTCATGACAGTCTTCCCAGAAATCCCACTGTGCCTGGCTCTGGAGGTCAGTCTCACTTTGGCCTTACACCCTAGTACTCACAGGGTCAATTTGGCTGATCTGCATGATCATGAGGATGTCCCTTTTCTCCCATTACAATCTGAGCATCTCTTCAATTAACTCTGTCACACAGGATGATCTTGAATGAACAAGGACACTCCAGTCAAGGTTGTGTCTGTAACTTTCCTGACTTTATGATCCCTCCAAACAAGCTTTGAGGCCTCAATGAATATCTGATAAACTCTTGAATGAACCAATGATCAACACCATTATTTTCTTGGATTTAGCAATGCCGACTTTTCTAAACCGTTTTTGAAAACTCTGTATCTCTGAATCTTCATGATCAAAGTATCAGCACTTACTGAGTGTTCAACAAATGTATAACAAATGAAATGAATGAACAACAACGAGAAAAAAAACAATATAAACTGGGCTTGTGGCTCATGCCTGTAATCCTAGCACTTGGGATTCTAAGGCAGGAGGATTGCTGCAAATCAATTTCAAGGGTAGTCGGGGCTATATGGCAAGGTCTGAGCCAGCCTGAGGTTCAGAGTGAGAGCCTGTCTTAACAAAACAAAACAAAAACCAGTCTTCATATGTATTTCCATGTTTCTTAAAAAGTATGCACATTCATTTTTAACTTTTCACCATGACACATGAAAAGTTTACTAACGTACTAAGGAACTGGTTGATTGCCCAGAGGTGTAATGACAGATTTGTGATGGTTGAATATTTATCCATTTTTCATGCAGGGTCTCATGTAGCCCAAGTTGGCCTTGAACTGTGTGGGACTCTAGCCCTGTGCCTCTATGATCAGCGTGATATTAAGTTTTGAAAACTTTATCTGTGATTGATGTGATTTTTTAAAAGCACTTTCAAGATTGTGTTTTAAAATTCATGCTTTTTTAGGAATAGAACTTTAGAGTGGCTTTGATTTCTCTCATAGCCAGAATGACAGTGTATGTAAACTGTTGTCCTCAAGGGTCACTCTGGGTATAAAAGCTTAGGAAACGTGATTTTGAAACATGTTAATACTCTAAACCATTTTATTTTTACTTTGATTTTTGTGACATTGAGGACTTAACCCAAGACCTTGCACATACTAGACAAGAGCTGAACCATACAGATACATCCCTCATCTCTGAATTACTTTGCTAGACCTAAATGAAAGTGCTTGGTACTGTTCCTCCCCCAATGTGAGTGCTCATTGGATAGCTTGCTCTGATCATGTATTCAGGCACACACAGACCTCCCTGAAGACTCAATATAAAAATCTGGCCTTCTGGAATTTTAGAGCAATGTTTAACATTAGTTGAAGACAGTGTTGCCTTGTTTCAAGTCACCATTCAGTTATAAACTGCCTGCCAGAGACTAAAAGTAAGTGGTTCAGTTTCGGGGAGGCATAAGCCAAATAGATAGACATTCCAAAAAGATTTTGTCTTTCTCAATCCCTGGAGAAGTATGTTTTACTTTTGATTTGTTCATTTTCATCAGTAAAAAAGTTTCAACTCAAGCTGGGTGTGGTGGCACATGCCTTTAATCCCAGCACTTGGGAGGCAGAGGCAGGCAGATCTTTGTGAGTTCGAGGCCAGCCTGGTCTGCAGGCAGATCTTTGTGAGTTTGAGGCCAGCCTGGTCTACATAGTGAGTTCCAGGACAGCTGGGGCTACAGGGAGACCCTGTCTCAAAAAGACAAAAAAAAAAAAATGTTTCAACTCAAATATCCCCAATATATGTAGACTTATTTATAAAGTGTATGCATGTGTTACTGTAATAAATAACTGTTTTGATAAAAATCCATCAAATGGAAATATAGAGGTGGGCATAAAATGAGTAGATATAGAAGTTCTTATGCCATTTTCTCTGGTTAAGTAGCAAACGTTAAAAGAGTGCACAGTCTATTTCCAGGAGGCCAGATGGAAGCAAGAGTCTCCATGACAGGTCCCAATTTACCCTTTGGATAAATACTACCAAAACCAAATGGCTTTATTTTTAAGGAAAAATGATAATTTAGTGATTGATGATTTAAGGACTTTATTTTTTATGGAACCAGCTTTTATGCTTTTATGATCATCCTAAATACTATACTTTATTCCAAATGCAAAGAGCTAGACTGCCAATTATACTGAAGGATAAGGATAAAAAGGGCAATACACTGCAGTAGGCAACTGGAGAATATCAAATGGGCTGCTAAGGAAGAGGCAGTTGCATCATACGGTGCCATTCCGAAGAACTAGTCTTCATCAACACCGCCTTTCCCAAGAGTTAAGACTTGTGGTAATAGCAAGTGCTGCAGTGACACTCAGTGTGGTTCTCCACCCTGGTGTTTCCCATCACTGTGGCCTAAAGGAGGAGAGAGAGAGAGGGGGGGG